TACCATTGCTTGCATGGTTGATTTGATAAAATCATGAACTCGCCCCAAACTCATCCACTTATCCACTGAGGTTCATGAACGTCGTATGTTTGAGCCTGACAAGCTCAGAGTTTTAGTAGATGTGCTATATCTAGCACGTATAGAGGCTATAGATGTGCTACTTTCTTCCCAAACCACACTAAGAATCACCAGACACTACTGAAACCCCATGCATATTGCCTAATCCTATATGCTTCACAAAACACAAACCACAGAAAGACTCTAGTAACTCAGGGAGACCTGTGTTTCCTAAAGGGAATGAGCGTCCACAGACATGAGTCAAAAACTTTTAGAAATGTATTTAGAAATAACCATATGTAAGATACATAGGGTTAAAAACACGCATAAATATATATATACTGAGCAAATATGAGTGCTGCTTATTCACTGTCACAGAACAACTAATAATTTGATAGATGTTTTCATAAAACTTCATAACCGTTGACCACCAGATGAAAAACAAATTTAAAAAAGCCTTTGGTCTCTGAGCCACACCAAAGTTGGGGCCTTTAACAATATTAATTCAGGTAATGGCCTCCTTTAATGGCCCAATTCTCTGCCTAATTGGTACGTGGTTGTTACTTCACTTCAGAGTGAAGCAACCTGCTTGGATCACATGCAGAAAACAACCTGAAGGCCACGCATCGCTGCAGAGTAGCTGTCAGTACTCATCCCCACCAGCGGGACGAGCCAGAAACCTGGCAGAAACCGGGGCAGAGACGCTAGGAAACACTCCTAACTCTTTAAAATCCGCGTGGAAAATTGCGTGCAGGTTTCGGTTGAGATTTTCCCAGCTCTTGGCTGCCTTGGGATAGAAGCAGCCTCATGTTAATAACATAACAGCGGGTGAGACCTGCTGTGCCCCAGGCTAAAAAGGGGTAGACTTGGCACCTAGGAGAGATATAGATATGGAAGACCAGAGAAAAACATTTAAAAAAAAAAAGGGGGGCAAATCAGGAGCAAAGAGACTTGTCCATTGGTTCTTACCAAGAAAAAACAGAGCAGCAGCAATCCCTTGCTGTAATTGTAAGGGGAACCAGAGTGAAAAACATGGTGAGCTGCAATAATACCACTGCTTTAAGAGCCTAAACAGGCTCTTATTAGACACAGGCTCCTATATGCTCTCTTAGCATACAGCTAAGTTAATCTTTAAGGGAAAAGTGAAACAGAAAAATGAAGAAGGGATCTGTGCAAAAGCCCCATTCCACTGACCCCTGCAGCCCAACCTACCAAGGAAAACTGGAAACATTTTTCTTCCATTAAAACCTTTTTTTTTTTCTTTTTTCTTGGGGGGGTGGTTGGTCCCTGTTAAACATGGCCAGCTATGACTGACAATTCTGCAGACTCTGAAAACAGAGCATGAGTAGCTTACAGAAATCAGCTAAAACAGACCTTTTCATTATGGTTAAAATTTGTAATCATTTATCGGTTTCCTACGTTTATTTTTGCAGCTTCCTTCTTTTCAGAACAAACGCAATTGCCCTGGAATTTCACACCAGTCAGTGCCTTTGAGAATATGTTTTTTGAAAGCAGTTTCAGCAAACCACACATCAGTGAAAGGCCTTCATACCCAGCCAGAAGCACTTCCAAACTGCTGGGCAAACTTCAGCCTGGTAGGAGCTGTGTTGTTTGCAGTTGACCGGAGCACCTTTCTACAGGATTTCACTACAAAAATATTTGCAGAGCCTCATTAGATAGATGATTTATGCATCAGTCTCAGTGAGCACAGAAACTAACAATTACTGGAAGTTTTGCCCAGAGGTTAATGAAGAATTACTATTTTGAGAAACAATCACTTTTTTTTTTTTTTCTTCCCTTGAGCTCTGCATAGATTAATTAATTGGTATAGTGCATTAAAGCAATGCCAGGCTCCCAATAGCTCCCTGTGGATGCCAGATATTGCCCAGCTCCTGCAGCAGCTGCTTAGACAAGCACAAGACATATACTGGGCTCCCATAGCACATCTTAAACCATATCATTTTACCAAACTGACCCATAAGCTCAAATACTGCTGGTGCAGGCCCCAAAATGCAAGTACTCAGCACATCACCACTAAAATTGAACTACTTTTTCTTCAAGTAACAATTTATCAGCAGTGTTAGAGAAAGTTAGGCTATTTTCCAAGCAAACTGCACACTATTTGCAGAGGCTGAATCAACGAAGCAAGACTCCCAACAAGAAAGGCTCTGATTTCCAAAATGTCTGAGTATGGACAAAAATGCACGCAATTCACAGGAAAACAGCTTGCTACAACACCCCAGTGCAATGGAACCCGGGACAGAATGTTAAGACTTAAAGTTAGTAATTCACCCTCAAACAGAACTGAAAAAAAAAAGCAATGAGGTCTAAATCACAGCCTTTGTTATTTACTAGCCAAATTTAAAGTAAACATCTTTGCTGAAATATGCAAAAGGCAGTTAAATTTCTGATTGCTGCTTTCATGATAAAGTTATAATAAAGATTCATAGCTTATCTCACTCATAAGCTCACTGAAAATATTTACAGCTCATGTAAAAAAGAACCCTATAAAATGCAAAATTACTCTTTTCTGCAAACAAGTTCCAAATTAAGGCATTTCTCTATCAATTTTATCTGCGTATAGGCTCCTAGATCAAAAACTTACCAAAATGGCACAGAGGCACAGCCGCTTAACAGTGCAGGAACTCACATTCTCCAGTTAACCCAAGCAAATCACTGCTCCTTAGTCACTTCACACTTGAATGCGGCTGGAGATGTGGTTAAACTTGACAGTATATTCAAGTAACACGAACGCCGCTGAGTAGCCCATAACAAGTCTTTCTAGTTCATTTCCCTGCTGCTGATTGATTCAGAGGGTGCAGGAAACACCACCCCTGAAGTTGGCCTTCCCACTTGGGGAGCTCCGTGCAATCCAGGGCCTCCAACGCCCAAATCCTGCTCATCCGAAGGAGTTCTTTTCCCAAGCAGGACAGAAAACCCTACATGGATCCATAGCCCTCTCCATGATGAGCTGCTAAGGATTTTGGAGGCTCTGGCACAGCTGCACGTTAAGAGCGTTGGCCTCAAGGGTTTGCAGAGGCAACAAGTCCAGACAGTCTCTGCAAAATGTTGTCCAATTTACTGTGGAATTAAATACTTGCAATTCATTATAGCGTCTTTCTGTGAAAGGGGAACAAGCAGCCTCTATCCCGAAAGAAAGTCTGTTTGCATAACAATCCTGAAGCTAGAACTTCGGCTTGCATTAACACATCTCCAGCACAAACATTTAGATTCCAGATTAACCTGTCAGTCCATCAACATTTTCCAATGGACAACTGAAAGGGAAAGGAGGCAGGGGGGAAAAAGGGAGGTGAGGGAGAAAGGAAGAAAAAAACTACTAAACCAATTAGCAACACTCCATGCACACAATTTTTCTTTCCTTGTAAGCAGATGGAATTGTTCTGCATGACTTCAGTTAGAAGTGTACTACTGAGGGGAAAAAATAGAAGAAAAAAGTCAAGTGAGGTTTAGGCTGTTTACTGCTAGAGTTGCACAGGTTTCTTTGAAGTCTGTCATTTCAGAAAAAAAAAGGCTTCAAAATAGTAGTTTATTTTTGGGGCAATGTGCATTGTATGCAAATGTGGAATATAATTCTTTTAACTTCTTTTGTGAGGGGAAGAGGGAGAAAACATACTTTTTTCAGCAGTCCTAGGGGGTTTTATAGCATTGGTAAATACAGCCTTCACTAATCAATGAAGAACGGTAACTCCAACGGCTTCATAAAATCTCCCTTAGCCATCTGGAAAGGCATCTTATTTTGCATAAACCTCAGATACTGGTATTACATATTTTTAATTTACTCCATATGGAATTCTTTAATCCTCTGCACTAATTAGAAAAAAATCTACAGTGATCATAGCCAGTAATTTAGGATTATATTTCATAGCAGAACATCCTTTCAAACCAGATTAGTGATAAAACCCTCCAGATAAGCCAATTCTCAATCCGCATGTAAGCTGCATTTGAAGAAGAGCAGAGGAGGGAAAAAAAGAAAAAAAAATCAAACTGCTAAAATGTACATTCATGACACGACGATATTTAAGGCTCTCTCAGATGACCAACTGCCCCAGGCTGTGCTGATTAATCCATCCTCACAGCACCTAGAAGTCCCAGATGAGCTCCCACAGGCTCCTGCCACGCGCTTGAAATTTTCCATATAACCCCAACGTAGAAGTCTTGGCTTTAGTGGGCTAAAGCTGTGTTTGTGCAGTGATCAGGAGGACAAGAAAATATTGACACAACTGCAAGAGGGACACGGCTGCCGTGCTTTTATCAATCATTCTGCAATCCCTGCTCTTTCCTGACCTATCAAAGCTTCCCTGCAACCTTTGAACGCTCCAAACAGCCTCGTTCCAGAGAGAAGCACCAAACCAAAACAGGCATTTCAGGACCTTCTTAAAACAACAAAAACATTAACCAAACCCAACACTTATGTACCTGATTTTTGTGCGTTCGCATTTTGCTAAGAACCAAGCAACTGCAATTAGCTTGGCATATAAGAGTGGTCAGGAAGGGCTGCAGATTCTGCTCGCAAGAGCTGGTTAATCTCACCAATTAATTAGAAACGTAGCACAGGAGCCACATGACTTTTTGCTGAGCCCCTCTGCTAGTCTGGTGTAAACCCACATCGCACTGGGAAAGCAGACAGAGCTGCACACTGAAAGATTCAGGAGCATATATATTTGCTTTTATATATATGCTTTGTATTTTTTGCAAACAACTTTGCACACTTCAGATGTTGTAATCACTGTCATGAAAACAAAACAAACCCAAAAAAAATAGAAAACAACAACAAAAACACAGTCAGACTCTCCAATGTACAAGGAAATTAGTTTTCAGTGTTTGGGTTTAACTTCTGCCACCACACCTTTTGTCTAGTTTCACAAATCAAGAAAAATGTAAGTTAAAAAATATAATAAACAAACTAGGGAAAAATTAGTTACCTGTAGCACTGTCATTAGCATTTGCTGTGTAGGCCATGTTTGCTCAGTGGTGCATCCAGAGCTAGGTTGTTAGGTGTCATGCAAATCTCATGCATCAAGTCCAACCTGACATGCAACCTGAAACGAACAAGAAAAAAAGAGGCAGTTAAGAATAAGGTGAGTTCATCAAGCATTAAGCACTTTTCAGTGTCCAAGGTCTCGTTTTAACTGCAAAGTCACTCCAGCAGTAACCCAAAGAGATTCTTCTTCATTAGAGCCCCATCTACCCACAGAATCCCTCAGCTGCAGTGGTGCAAATTGTGCGCTCTGTGCAATGTCTGGACTTAAAACTGGGGTTTTTTTTGGAGAAGGGGGGTGGTTGTCATCACTCTTCTGCATTGCATTTCTCTCATTACAGAAAAAGGATGCTTTCACCCGAGGCAGCCTTGCAGCTCTGGCCGCAGATCTGCAAACCAACCTTGCCAAAGGGGCTCTGGCCACTCCTTTTGGCTGCCAGAGCAAGCCCGACTGCAGCCCTCATCCTCGGGACAACAAAATTTAGCTCAGATGGAACTGCCAGGAAGCCTCCGTTGGCCGTGGCTCAAGTTCTCCACAACCCAAACAGCGTTTCATTTCGCTGACTCAGGCAGGTGGAGCTTAGCGGCACGGAGAACATCCCACGTCTCCCACCCCGGCCTCACTTACTCTGACAGCTCCCCAAACCACTTGTATTCTTCCAATTATGTGCGATTTGGCTAGGTACACAGAGGTATTTACACGTTAAGCAGATTGGCAAACAAAAACTAAATCCAGCAATGAGTGCAAACACGACGTGAATCTCAAGTCAAAGGTACGTCAGCTGAGCAATCAGCTGTCTCTTAAAGTTGATGAAGGCCCATCACAAAGGCTTAATTCAGCCTTTTCAGAAACAAAAGCACAAATCTTTGTTTTTCGGCATGACCTTGACATTAATTTTCCAAGAATGCAGAAAAATCTCCATTGCAACCCCTTCTCCCCAAGCTCCCCTACATACTCTCAAATCTATGGTCTCTTGTTCAAAGAATGGTGGGACACAAAGCTGTCAAAAAATAACAAATGAAAGAGTTACAAGAAAGGGTTACAAACAGGAAAATAAAGTGGGCATCCAGCAAAGGCTATGATGCAAAGTCCAGGCATAACAGTAATATCAGATTTCTGGAACAATGAAGCATAGTGAGAAAGAACGGAAATGCACCTAGCCAGCTGAGTCTGCAGCCAGAACCAAAGTCTAAAATCTGTGAGCTTTCAGTAAAGTATAAACCACCCCTTTACAAGGGGGGGAATTCTAAGGAATCACAACTGTCTCTTCCTTTGCATTTAGGATGCTTTAAGTTCAAGGAAGGCAACTTTCACCTTCACAATGAATGACTTCTATTGAAGAATCATCACCACCACCAGCACCATCATCATCATCATCATTGCAAGCCATGCAATATCTCAGGGCGGCATTGTGCAGGTCCTTAAGATGCACCCAAAGGTGCCAACTTCCCAAGCCAACTCAACTCACCCAACAGGGATGCACAACCTCTTCTGCCCATACAGCCACAGCTGTGAGGTTGCACAGCTAGGGACAGGAGAAGGGAAAAGGGCCCTGTGCCTGAAATGGCTCTTTTAATAGGAATGCAATCCCAAATAAGAGAAAAGTCTGCCACAAAACTGAAGGCCTAATTAAACCCAGGCTGTGGTATGTCTGGGAACTCATGTGATGGTTTTAAAATTAGAGTTTGTTAAGCTTTGCCATGTAGGTTTACAGAAATACCTGCTACATGCTTTGTAAACAGGTTTATGGATGGCTTTGGTTAGTACTAAAGTGGACTGGAGACTCTGCACTTTAATAGCTAGAAGCTAAAGAGGTTTAGTGCAAACTTTTTTTAACCACTGCAGAGAACACCTCAAGCAGCATCAGCTTAACTGCATCTCCACTCAAGTCACTCCTTAATCCAGACCTCAGGTCTTGCCTTCACAAGCAAAAAGGCTGAGCAGTCTTCTTCCTTCTCATTAGTGCCTTTGGTTCAGTCATGTTGCTTTAAATTGCTTCTCACCACTCCTTAGAAAATACATCTCGTGGTACTATGTACAGAGCTTTTTAAATGTACGGCTCCAGAATTGGCTAGCTGCTTCAAAATCACTAGTCAGCATCATGAGCACACATAAGGAAGGTTTCCTAATAGCAAGAAGCAAATAAAACCGAGGGAAGAATTGTCATAAAACTAATAAGACACTGCTGTAAACCAAGAGCGGCCTGCATTTTGTTGTGGATTAAAGAAATGTAACTGAACCGATACAGACTTCTATTAGTTTCAAAGTTCTTCAGGCTTAAGTCTCCTGCCAAGAAACAAACTCCAGTTAAAACAATGCATCTTTTAAACTTAAAATTAAGAAAAAAAAAAAAAATTCAGTCCAACAGAAGATAGAAAAAAAAAAACAAAAACAAAAAACAAGAGGTCTAACCATTTGCTGTGTAGGGTTACTGGAAGAATTGGGGTTTTTTTTACACAACGTACAACTTTGGTTTATAGCTTTCTACTAAACAGCTGTCCTAGCGTGGAAAAAAATATATAATCTAGAAGAATTTTTGAAGCTATATTGCATGTGTTAACCCTTTCTGGAGCAGTACTGTATGTGATTTCACCAGCCACAGGTACTAAGCAGAGCTGTGCTTTCAGACCACACTCTCATGGGGACAAAACCAGATGACACCAGATATCAACTAAAATACACAGAGGAGGGCACATCCAATTAGCAAAGGAGCCAGCATATTCCATTCCCACCTCCACTTTCTACCTGTATGTTTTTACATGCTTACCCCATCCCCGCCTGTGAACACTGGTTTACAGACCCAACAGCAAATGCAAAACAAGCAGAGACTAGCTGTAAAAGCTTTTATTGCTCAATGAAGCAGTGTTGTTTAAAGTGTTTTGAATCAGATATTCAAACCCAGCTTTGCCCCGAGGTTCAAAAGCAGGAACCTTAAACACAAATCGGGATCTTCAATTTCTGCAAACTATCATGGCACACCAGCTTTTACAGGTTTTTTTTTTATGTGATAGGAATTCCTTAGGCAGAACATAAGGTGCAACCACGTTCTAAACACAATCTTGCTTCATTTTGTGCTGTGTTTTGTGCCACCTAGAAATATTCAAGAAAAACATCCACCCAGCTATTCACACAGCAAAGCTGTAGACTTGGAGGCACAAACCTCGCAGGGAAACCAAGTCTGCATGGGATCCCGCAAGTTTTCGAACTTCCCATTTTTTCTGAGGTTTGCAAGAGATGCCCAAGACTAGAAAACGTGGAGTTGTGATGTAAAAGCAGTTGCATAAAAAAATATTTCAAAATAATTGAAAGTCAACAGAGAAATGAGAAGAGAAACACACCTCAGCTCTTAACCTGCAAAAACCACCACAAGCACCTCTCCATAGAGAGGCAGCAGTTGCTGGTGGGACTTCATGATGCACCAACACTCACACACGAGGTCTGAAGACAACAGGCTTCTATGCATGTTGCCTTTCATTTTTGTGTGGCATGCACAGACCAAACGATCACATAAACCACAGAATCACAGAATGTTTAAGGTTGGAAGGGACCCCTAGAGCTCATCCAGTCCAACCCCTGCTCCAGCAGGGACACCCAGAGCACGGGGCACAGGGCGGCATCCAGGCGGGTTGGGAAGATCTCCAGAGCAGGAGACTCCACAGCCTCCCTGGGCAGCCTGTTCTAAAACCACTGAAAACAAACTCCACATCTTCAGATATCTTGCACCACAAAGGGATGAGAACAGTGATGCTGCCACATCAGCTGTAGCAGTAGGATAGTTATGCAGTACAACTGTGCTGGATTCAAAATATTGGCTTGTTCTGTTCTGGCAGCTTCCCTCAGAGACTGGAGGGAAGAGGCCTAGGACAGAAACCAGCTCTATAACATGGCCAGAAAGTGTGAAGTGGTGATTAACCAGGTATCACATACAGGATAACTAACCCATCAGATGACACACTTGAGAAGACTTCTACTGCTCAATTTTCTTCTAACAAGTTGGTACAAAAAAAGGACCCTTCTACCTGACACTTCTTGCTCAAATGTCATCCTAGCAGTGGGATGTGTCCAGTTTCATCCTGATATAGATGACATTTGACAGCAAGAGCCAAGATCAGCACAAGATCTGTCTAGACACGTGGCTGGCACTCTCTAGTGACAGGAAGAAACTAACCCTGGGAATTCTTCCTTCCTTCCTTCCCTCTGCTCAGCCATAGGTACCTGCACTTTCCAAATCTGGCTGACAGTAAGTGTCTGCAACCTAATTCACCTTATAAAACAAATACACCAGGTGCAACTGAAAGGAAGCAAGCCTTGAATCCAACAGAACATTTCAAATTTCACCTGCCTATTTAATCGTGGTAACAATCCATTCACATGCACCCTAGGCCTAATATCTTTTTAATGTGGATGTCCACATCGCAAAGTTATACAAATTCAGCATCCTCACTCAGTGAGCAAAATAAATCACAAATAGAGGCTTTTTGCCTAGGTCTTTGTGACTGCAGCAGTCAAAACAGTGAGGTGAATGTTTCCTGCAGCCCCTTTCGTAGGGTCTGTTGTGGTACAGTCCCCTGCATGACCACACATGATGCTTTGGTCAGATATTACATATATTATATACAGTATTACAGCCAGCTGATTTTGGAGAGTATTTCAGCATGTGATCCAAAAGAAGCCACCTTTCTCCATGGCATCTTCTCTTCCAGCACCCCCTGAGAAGCACATTATCTGTAGGATCAGCAATAGCTTGGGAGCAAAAACCAGCCATATAAATCCTTTCAGCAGACACATTAATTAACTACATATGTCTGTGGTCACCATAAACCTACCTTCCTCACCTGCCTTCCTCCTTCCCTCCACAGATCTGTTACAGGTCTTGCTTCCACAAGAGCTCTGGCCAGGAGCTCTCTGGGCCTCGAGGAAGCAAGCTGAAGGAGCATGTTACTCAAGGAGCACACCACAAAGGCACTTCCTTCCCTCCTGCCACAAAAACAGCAGAATCAGACCCATTTCTGATGTTTTTGGTCCTCAGATTCCCACCTACTACACTGCCAAGCTGCAGT